CGAACTAATAATCTAATATAGCGACGGTCGCTATATTGACGAAACGACGATATTAGAGATTAAAGCGACGACCGTTTTTTCTATTTCGATCACGTACATTTGATCTGACAGCATGTGTACTGTCGCAATTTGTAATAATCATCACACTTTGTAATACCTGTCGCAATTTGTAATAAATCCATCGCACTTTGTAATACCTGTCGCAATTTGTAATATACCGTGTCGCACTTTGCAATAAAAAAGCTGTCGCAATTTGTAACAACTGTCCATCGCACTTTGTAATAAAGTAAGCTGTCGCAATTTGTAATAATTCCATCGCACTTTGTAATACCTTGAGTAATCAAACTTACTTCGTCAACATTAATATAATGCCGAAATATGCATGGTACTTCATAAACAAAGATGATGACGTCAGCTAGCACGTAACATCTCCGCTCATTCAAATATTTAACTTTATTATTTAGATTAATGTTGATTAGTTATCTGACTTACGAAATGCTGTATTCTTAAACCTTGCTATTGTACTAGGTTGTTTTCATTCAATGGTTACCCGGCGGGTGTACTTCCTTATATGGCCAGTACGGGGATGTACCTCTGGACAGAGCGTTGTCAGAGTACAGAATCTAGACACGCTAGACACAAACGAGCCATTATTAAAAAGCATTTAATTTCCGCAAATTGTAACATCCATCCTACGTCATTCGAATAAGGACACCAGGAGAGTTCCTTGTTAGATCTTATAACAAGTCTACACAACACGTGGTGCACCGTCCTTGTCTAACGCGCAATCTTAAAGAAGTAATAGTGGCTTCTTTTTTGGCCAAATTAATCAAACGAGGCCTGGAAAGATTCAAAATGTTTACTGCAAATAATTACAAAAAACCTCAACAGTGGCAAACTGTCGAACCACAACAGAAACCTAAACACAAAATCCAATTAATCGCTAGCCAATACCTTCGTATGTACCTGTTTTTATAACACTCACTTGGGGTCTTACACTGAGCCGGCAGGGCATTTGGTCCCTTATTCTCACTTGATTTGGTCCCATATAGGAACAAAAGGAGTACTCATTCCATCTTAAAACAATTGTTTTCTATAAGAAGTCCTCTAAAGCAAATACCATGGGGATAGTAAAAAATTATCCTTCCCTGCGTATATACAACTCGTGAGACCTTGCAATTCTTCCGAGCGTGTTCTGGATTACTGTTTTTCCACAAAATGGAAAGGATGGAATAAACCATCCATTACTACTTGAGTTACCCTATCTAAGGATCAAATCAAAGACACAAGGCTAACAAGGTAAAAAATGATACCCTATTAAAGGCTCAAGATCCTCAAAAACCATACCCTATCAGGCGGTACTTACCTATCTAGCCCATCCATATATGGGATTTTCCCCCCCCCCCCTCCCCGAAGACTTCACTTAGCAAGCAAACATGGATTTGGACGATGAATGCCAGGTTATTCATGAATTTTATGTTGTTAAATGTTGCTTTAATTATTTAAATATTTTTGAATTTAAACATGATTCATTTCTTTTTGGTGATATGTCACAGGAAGTTTCACGTCTTTCATAAAAGCGTTTCTAGTTGGTCACGTGGTTAATCAAGGCAGAAAAATTTATAACGTAAGACATGCGTGTTTGACCAAAGAAAATGTTACGGAGATGTTACCTGCTAGCAGCCGTCATCATCTTTGTTTATGAAGTACCATGCATATTTTGGCATTATATTAATGTTGACGAAGTAAGTTGAATCACTCTCAAAAAATTATTACAAAGTGCGATGGAATTATTACAAATTGCGACAGCTTAGTTTATTACAAAGTGCGATGGACTGTTATTACAAATGGCGACACCTGTTTTATTACAAAGTGCGACACGGTTTATCACAAATTGCGACAGGTGTTACAAAGTGTGATGGATTTATTACAAATTTCGACAGGTATTACAAAGTGCGATGATTATTACAAATTGCGACAGTACAGCATGAGTATTACGATAATGAGCGAAAAACAAATCTACCGAACACGGTGCTGCACGTTCAGAGTTGAAACGGCGGTCATTGTGGTGTACCCAACCAATCCTGTGTGGGACTTGAACTTTTTTCTTATGAAGAAACGTTCTTTTGTTCAAATAAATTTGAGTGAAAGAAAACGCTCTCTCTATTTAGACTAAATGGTTAGGGCGCATGACGGAATATCAAGAGGGCAGGGAGAGGTGGTGATATTACCCTGGCCGGGGTTGGAGTCAATCTCGTTCCCAGGGTTCTTTCCTACAAGTAGAGAGAACCTGGGAACGAAGTTGGGTAGGAGTTTCGGCGCATCCTCGGAGACCTAGACTGCAAAACAGTCGGTTTTTTTCTCAAAATCAGTAAAGAAATCGGTAAAGCGTGGCGTACGAGTCTTAAGCGCGCGCGAAGCGCGCGAGCCTCACACGCCCGTAGGGCGTGTGAGGCGAAAAACCGGACAGTCCGTATTTTTAGCGTCTCTCCCCAGTCTCACTCTCCGTTTTCAGCCTCGTTCCAGACCTTTTGTTTGACTGCTCGCGCTTACTTGAATACGCAAAAATACGTCTCTCCCCAGTCTCACTCTCCGTTTTCAGCCTCGTTCCAGACCTTTTGTTTGACTGCTCGCGCTTACTTGAATACGCAAAAATACGGACTGTTTTGCAGTCTATCGGAGACCTAGGGGCAGCTACAATCGTCGTCAAAAATCTTGAAACACTTCCCCAATGTTGATTTGGGTATTACAGTGGTCTCAGTGCTTCAAAATACGCGTGGCTCAACACTGGGGAGGGAGAGGGCACATCACAGTGAAAACAAATGTGTGAGGAGTAAATATCTCAAGAATTTTCCAGAAAATTCCAAAGAAACGGTGTCTGTTTCAACAATTTGTGACGAGTATTGTAGTAGGGACGATTTTATCGTCCCGACTAGCTGCCCCTGGGTCTCTGAGGATGTTCTAATCATTATGAACTTATCCCAACAACAGTTGTGATTTGTGTTAACCCTTTTAGCCACAAAAGGGACTAATGTTAATTTTCTCCTGAGAATTTCAACATATTTTTAAGAGAAAAGGTTCATAGAATTTATAATTTGATCACCAAAAAGGAAATGCTTTTATCCTTCATCATATTCTTGTCTCCAAACGGGAGTCTAAAGAATAATATGGCGACTATTATTGTTGTTGTTTTCCCACTTTGGCCATTTTTTTGTCGCGTTCTCATTTCTAAATCTACCTATTATTATTTTATTATTAACACAGCTGCTTATAAAACTTGCTTAGCAGATATAAAAGAATGGGCGCCATGAACTTTTGAATGAGGTGGAAGAAACTGCGAGCGTGGTTTACAAGGACATTCTAGACTGGATTCAGCAAAAGCTACCTTGAACTGTTTTAGGCCAGGAGCACACGAATCCAGACTAATTTTTGAAACTACATAACTTTTTACCTGGATTCGTATAGACAAGGCCTTAAACCACTCCAGAGAGCGGTTTCACAAAGACAGTAGGCTGATTTAGCAATAGAACGGGAACGTCAGTTGACGACGACGCGCGCAAGTCAAACAACTGGCTTGACCAATGGCAGAGCAGGAAATTGAGCACCGGAAGTCGTGTTCAGTCCTTTCCGCGCACTTTCCCGTTGTCAACTGATGTTCCCGTTCTGTTGCTAAATCAGCCTAATGTTTCGGTGAGAGGATTCACTAGTTTCGCGCGTGGACGGAATACCAGACGGAAGGCCGATTCATGTGAAAAGTGTATATAAATGCGGTTTCAAAAATATCTGGATTTGTGTGGACGGGGCTTTCACGATAGTGTCAATTTACAAATATGACCAGAATCATTTCATTTTTTTCATTTCTTTCATATTCAGAAGCCTTATTTGCATGAGAAAGCCAAACTCTGACGGATTCTAAAAAGGGCAGTTTGCACGATGACGTCATTTTACTATACCAAATTCCTTCAGGGTTTGCTTTCTTGTGCAACCTAGGGCTTTTGTTATTTAAACGTCAGTGGGATTACCAAATTTAAATAAGAAAGAAAAAAAAAGTGAATTTCTTTAGTAGAAAAAACAAGTCATCGCGTAAATAGCCAATTAATAGGCACCGTGGCCGTGGTCTACTCTGAACTGCTGCACTATTCGGGCTGGGAGGGTGACCGTTAATATAGGCCTCTCTAATGTCGGGCGTCTTAAATCTCGAGTAACTGACGTTCAGTCAGAGTCAATCTCTGTATTTTAACGCCAGGTTTGATTTACAGTTTGATGTTCTAGATAATAATAGCCTGCGATCATGCTCCCCCTAAAAAACGCCTGTTTTAAAAAAAGACGATGAAACATGAGAAACTATAGTTTTACGCTTTTTACTTGTTTCTGTTTTCGTCTTTTGTGGCTATGGTTTGTATTTTTAAATTCTGTTTCAGTTTTGCGGTTTAATTTTGTATTTTTTGAATAAAAACACAGAAGAAAAAGCAGATGACTACTACAGTCGCCAAGGCAGAGCTTATTACTCCCTCAGTGACTTCCATCAAGCAATAGTAGAGCGCTTCAAGCAATTTCTGAGCATTACTATTGGAGCCAGTGACAGAGAAAGTGAAGCAATAGCCTATAACTTTCTCGGCTGTGCTTATCAATCCCTCAGTGAATTCCAACGAGCAATAGAGTGCTGCGAGCAAGCGCTGAGCATTGCCCAGGAAATCGGTCAAAGGGAAGGAGAAGGATGTGGCTATGGCAATCTCGGCAATGTTTATCAATCCCTCAGCAAATTCCAACGAGCAAAAAAGTACCACAAACAACACCTCAGCATTGCCAAGGAAGTTGGTAACAAAACATGTGAAGGAAAAGCCTATGGCGGTCTCGGCGTTGCTTATGAATCCCTCAGCGAATTCCAACGAGCAATAGAGTACCAGAAGAAAAGCCTGAGCATTGCCAAGGAAATCGGTGACAGGGAAGGAGAAGAATGTGCCTATGCTAATCTCGGCGTTGTTTATCAATCCCTCAGCGAATTCCAGCGAGCAATAGAGTACCACGAGCAAGCGCTGAGCATTGCCCAGGAAATCGGTAACAGGAAAGGAGAAGGACGTGCCTATGGTAATCTCGGCTGTGTTTATGGCTCCCTCAGCGAATTCCAACAAGCAATAGAGTACCACAAGAAAAGCCTGAGTATTGCCCAGGAAATCGGTAACAGGGAAGGAAAAGGAGGTGTCTATAATAATCTCGGCAATGCTTATGAATCCCTCAGCGAATTCCAACAAGCAATAGCGTACGACAAGAAAAGCCTGAGTATTGCCCAGGAAATCGGTAACAGGGAAGTAGAAGGAGGGGCCTATTGTAATCTCGGCTTTGCTTATGAATCCCTCAGCGAATTCCAACAAGCAATAGAGTACCAGAAGGAAAGCCTGAGTATTGCCCAGGAAATTGGTAACAGGGAAGTAGAAGGAAGTGCTTATGGTAATCTCGGCTGTGCTTATGAATCCCTCAGCGACTTCCCAAAGGCAATGGAGTACCACAAGAAACACCTGACCATTGCCAATAAAGTCGGTGACAGGGTAGGAGAAGGGATTGCCTATAGTAATCTAGGCGAGATTCATAGTTCCCTCGGGGACTATCAACGAGCAATAGGGTGCTACAAGCAATGCCTGAGTACTGCCAAGAAATTCGGTTACGAGAAAGGAGAAGAAGTTGCCTATTGCCATCTCGGCGCAGCTTATTATAATCTCAAAGACTATAAAGAGGCACTAGAGTACTTTAAGGAACACCTGAGAATTGCCGAGGAAATCGGTGACAGGAAGGGAGAAGGATGCGCCCATAACGGCCAGGGTCGATCTCTATTACCATTAGGTTTTTTGAATGACGCTTTACATCACTTTAGATGCAGTGTAAAAATCTTTGACACAATAAGAGCCAATTTTATTTCCGAAGATGTATCGAAAATAAGTTTCCGTACGAGCCATCAATCTGCCTATACTCATTTATGGCAGGTTTTACTATCTCTTAAAAGGAGTGATGAGGCTTTATACGCTGCTGAGAGAGGACGGGCACAGGCTTTGCTCGATGCCTTAAAAGAAACTTATGGCCTTACATCACTTTCTCCCAGGTCAATTGAATCTGAAGAAGAAGTCATAAATATTTCAAAGAAGACAACTGTGTCAACAGTTTTTTTTGCCCTGGAAAAGAACCTACTCAGCATGTGGGTATTGCGAAAAGAAGGCAACCCTATCTTTAGGGGACTGAAATTACCAGCAATTGGAAAAGAGCACAAAGATTCCTTTTCTCTCCTTTTAGACAATGTTTTAAAATCCATTGGGGCTGGCAGAGGTATCAGGTGCGAAAATCGGTCAATGGATAAGCTGAGTACAACAACTTCAACTACTCGAGACGAAAATTAAGCATCGGAGGCATCACAGGAGACCACCGACTGTTTGCAGCTATTATATAATGTACTTATTGGTCCCATTGAAAACTTGCTTGATGGTGATGAACTAATTGTAGTTCCTGATGGCCCTTTGTGTAAAGCTCCTTGGGCAGCCCTGAGTGAAACTTTAAGGATCCGCACTGTTCCCTCACTGACAAGTTTGAAAGTCATCACAGATTCTCCATCTGGACGCCACGTTAAAAGTGGAGCCCTGCTTGTCGGGGATCCGTGTTTGGAGAAAGTTACAAATAAACGGGGGGAGCCTATTTATGATCCGCTGAAGTACGCAAGAAAGGAAGTGGAGATGATTGGAGAAATTCTAGAGAGTAAACCATTAACAGGTGAAGACGCAACCAAAGAAGCGGTTCTTCAGGGAATCGGGTCAGTTGCTTTGATTCACATCGCAGCCCACGGAAGAAAGGAAACTGGAGAAATTGTTTTGGCCCCAGACCCCCGATGGGAATCCAAGCCTCCTAAGGAGGAGGACTGCATTATGAAAATGTCTGACATACAAGCTGTTAAGCTGAGAGCGAGACTGGTTGTGCTAAGTTGCTGCCACAGTGGTCAAGGAGAGGTCTCGTCTGAGGGTGTGGTCGGTATGGCACGTGCTTTCTTGTTTGCTGGTGCTCGTTCCGTGCTGGCGACACTCTGGGCAATTGATGACGAAGCCACAATGACGTTTATGAAATCTTTCTACCAACAACTTGCAAGTGGAGAAAGTGCAAGTGTTGCTCTTCAGAGGGCCATGAAATGTCTTCGAGACTCCCACGATTATTCTGCTCCAAAGTACTGGGCTCCATTTGTTCTGATGGGCGATGACGTTAAGATTGAATTGGAAAAATAGTCATTGAGCAAGTCGTAAGTGGAGATTTTCTTTTTTTTGTTGCTGTTTTTGTTACAGAAGGCTTAAGAAGAAAAGCAAGAATCATTCTTGTCAAATGCAAATATGACAGACTTGATTATAAAAAGAATAAGAAGAAAAAATATGTACAAAGTAAGGATGGGTTGGGTGGTAAGTGTTAAATTATTATGAATTCACTCAAGTAAATGTTATTCCTAACGGGCTACCAAAAAATTTCAAAATTCAATTGAACACTAGGCATTGCTTAATGTTCTCAATTGTTAAATAGTTTAGGCCAGGTGTGGATAAAAGATATACATAGGGAATAAGTTTCCTTCGTTTTTCTACAGGACTAGCACTATATGTAGAGAAATTCATAGCTTCAAAACGAACAAATATGTCTAACATGTTAAATTTTTTTCATTTTGCTATTTTTCATATCATCATCCATGGCATCCTAAAATTTAAGGCTTTGACCTTTATTTTGTTTTGAAATGAAAGATTAATTAATGTATCAGTTGTTACTTTCTTTACAGGGATGCGCTGAAAGTTTGATGTCAACACAACTGCTGAAGTAGCGTGTATATATCTGGATTTCCCCAAAGAAAGAAGTGCGTTATTTAACAGCTGTCCTCATTGGGGCGTTTGGTAAAAAGGCGTGTTTTCATTTTAGTCATTTTTTTTTTCCAGAAGATATTAAATAGAGAGATTTATAGTCATGCTAACGGCAAATGGCAAACGTCTACAGATTCAAGTTGAGAATTTCTCAAAATAGAAAATATGAAGATAAAATGAAAACAACTCAAAGCAGTTCTTATGGATAAAACTAACTTGAAACTAACAATTTTTTGTAGATTTATTTAACAGCAAACGAGAAAGCTCGAGAAGCAAAGGGAACACTTTGTCACGTGGTACAAATCCACGGTTTGCGGTATAAAGGAAACTCTAAATCTCTAATTAATAACATCAAAAAACGTTGTAAATCAAAGGGCATACTGTATACTGTGAAGCTCTATATTAGCCACGGCTACACTTATCAATTTTAACTTGGGAAAAAGACAAACAATTTTCGTGGGGAAAGAACTTAACGTTGTTTACAAGTATTTCGTTACTCCCGCGAAAATGACTGAATAGTAGTACAGATGATTGCCCCTTTTCTCGACGTGTAACCTACCTTAACCGGCAAATTGTAATTTGGCAAAGAAAAATTGCATTGTATTAATTGTAATATTGATGATAATAATAATCACCATCATCATAATCTTAATAATTCCTTTTCAGTTTTTTTCCTTTCGGCTTTAAAGCAAATGACTGAAACAAATAATTCAAATTAATTTAACAGGGTTAACCCTCGGACGTACACGCAAATTCATACCCCAGCGTGGTATAAGGGGGAGGGGTGGATGGAACCCCTCCCCAGAGTTTTTGATCATGATAATTTGCAGTATTTCTAAACGATTTTGCCTTCAGTGGAAAGCCGTTGATCTACTCAACAAGATGAGGTTTATTTTTAATGGGTAGTGGCGCTTATGAAGGCCTGTGACGTCATCAACAATGGTAGCCATCTTGGATTTCACCAAGAATTAGAAATCAGGTTAAAATCGCGATAAACGATAATTTTTTGTGCTTCACATGTAAAATAACATTTAAATAAGCCCTTTGCATCATTTCATTTACAGGTTTTTCTTTTATTGTTGAAAAAAGTTGAAAGAACATGCATTTTCAATCAAAAATGGCTTGACCACCTGCTAGTTAAGACATCATATGTCGTAACCATAGTAACTGACCATCACTAAAATTGTCTCAAAATGCGCGCGAGGTATAAACGAACGGCTAATGAAAACATCGGGTGCTGATGTTTTATCGTCTAAAAAAAAAATTTAAAGAAAACGTCGGGGGAAGGGGGGGGAGGAGGGGGTTGTACGTCCGAGGAATCTCAAGAATCTCAAGTCATAACAGGACGGAGTCGAACCAATTAACTATATACAAGCGTGGCACTGGTTTCAGTAGGGTGATTCACATTTTAATCAGATAATCTCAAAAATTTTAATTATGCACTGTAAGTATTTTGTGCATTCTGAACCGTGATTCTGAACCGCGGGTTACAATTCAGTAGTTTAAGGTCTTGGTTAAAAGGGTGTTTTACGTTTTGTATGATTGATCCCCGGTTTTCCAGCTGAACTAGTTTTATTTTTTAAAAAGAAATTAATATGCTCATGTCTTGTTGTTCCTTAATGTATAAATTGGTGGACAATACAAAATGCAGACTGCAGACTGAATGCAGACCATTGTTTTCAGGGTTAGAAAACAATGGGACTATCAGTGGCTTCATAGCTTAGTTGGTTAGAGCGTCGCACCGGTATTTTTTTCAGCCTTCTTACGCAACTGCATAAATCGCGTTCACAACTGCGAGGATCATTCTTCATTTGATTTCATTTCCGCAGTTCTCATATATGATTTATTT